GGTTCCGACTCGATGGCACCTGACAACAACAACAATGCTACCAGAGCTTTTTATTGCATAAGCTACCTAAAATGTACCATCTTTGATTTCCAGTTTCATTTTCTTTAAAGTAGAACAAGGAATTAATGGCACGTATAACTAATCTTAAGGAGCTCTGGTAGCATAGCGGTTATGAATCGGGCTGCTAATCTCACGGTCAGCGGTTCAAAACTACTAGCTGTTCCTGCGAGAGAAAGTTGAGGTTTTCTGCTCCCATAAAGATTTATAGCCTCGGAAACCCTATGCCGGGTCAATATGAATCTGAACCAACTCCACAGCACATAACAACAACAATCTAAGTTCAAAACCCTTATCAACTTTCATATTTTCCCCAGTGTTTTATACCAGCATTATTGTTTTTTATGACTAGAAAAGTAGCATTTAATTTTATCACCAAGATTATCAGAATGTATAAGAGAAATTATGTTACTTTCAACAACTACATATTTTAGTTACTCATTTAAATAAGGCAGCATTCAATATCATATTCGTACACAGTTTTACTGTTTTCTCAGGGCTGATGGGAGAAGCAGAGTGGCATCCACTTTCCTGAGTATTCCAGACAACACAATAGGCCTGCAGTAGTTTTAAGGGCCACCTGAAATCATTCTGTTCAATTCACAGCATAAATCAGGAAAAGTTATGTGAGCCATGGACCAGACTTTAAAATTTTAAAGTTCCCAGCAGAAGGACCCAAAAATCTGCTCCTGCAAGCCGCTGAGGCAGTGCACCAAGCAGCCTTGGTGGGGGTAGAAGGGAGGACAAGGAGGAAGAGAAGCGGGAGCCAATTCCTGTGGAGTCTGGCACCGTAGACTGGCAACCTGGAAAGGAGCAAGGTGGGCTATGGCGAGGGCTGGTGAGAACGGCAGGATGCATGGCCCCAAATGCTATATATCCCAGCATTTTAAAAAAAAATGAAATTTTAATTGTGACTTTTTGTAAAAAAAAAAAAAAAAGTTTTTTTTATCCCAGAAACAACAAATCACTCCCCATTCTTTTGCATATACTAAATATTTAAGCTGCTTAATAACAAGTATTACAGGCATAAACAGGTTTTGGAACAGAATTGATCTATGGTGCGTGTATAATTCAACTAGTGGAGAAAGCAATTTGAAAATATAATTAAAAATAGTGTACCACCTAGTTGTAATCGTCCACCAGTGTGGCTTACAGACAGAGGCATCCATTATTGCAGAAAGATAGTGATGGGGATTAGTATTCAGGTCTCTCCTGTCTAAAAACTGCCTTCTTCCTGTGCCTCAGCCCTTCCATTTATACAGCTTTACCTCTCCTAATTTTCACAGCCAAATCTGTAGAGGATTGCTTAGGTGCATTCTCTCCAGTTCTTTACCATCTTCTCAACTTCTTCATCATAGTAATCTGACGTCGCCTACCACTCCACTGAGGCTACTTTGGGCAATCATCACTGACATTCTTGTTCTACATTCAATAGAGATTTTTCCGTCTGTCTTGCCATTGGTGCATTTGGCACTGTTATTCACGCCCTCTCTTTTTCAAGGCTTCCTTTTCATAGTGTCCTAGAAACTATCCTTGTTATTAGGTGTCATTGAGTCGGTACTGACTCATAGCCACTCTGTGCACAACAGAACAAAGCACTGCCCAGTCCTGGGCCAACCTTATAATCGTAGATAGCACCTGAGCCCATCACTGCTGCCTCATTGGGGGTTTTCCTCTTCTTCTCCGACCTTCCACTTTACCAAACATGATATCCTTCTCCAGTGACTGGTCCCTCCTGGTAATGTGTCTCCATGTATATAGATCTTGTTTATTGTTTCCATGGTGAGGATTTTTGTGTTTTTTTACATTGAGATGCAACCCATAGTGAAGGCTGTGGTCTTTGATCTTCATCAGTAAGTATTTTAAGTTCTCTTTACTTTCAGCAAGCAAGTGTAACAGGCATAAACGGGTTTTAGAACAGATTTGACCTTCGGTGAGAACCTATCCTAGCTTGTTTTAGTTCCTGCTGCACAGATTGCCACAGGTAAGACCTTGTTGCTCAACTCTCATTCTGCACACTCCTTTGGGCAGGTTTATCCAACTTTCTAACTTTAGTTACTATTAATATTAAGGAATCCCACTTGAATGTGTCACAGATACATCAAACATGGCATGTCCAAAACGGAATTTCTCTTTTTTTCAACCAGTCCCCTCTTCATTCTATGATCCCTGTATCAGTAAAATCTGTAACCATTCATCTGCCCAGTTCCAAGCCAGGAACCTGGACATCATCCTTGACTCTCTAACTTCACCTTTCCAACCCCACATCCACTCAGTCACAAAGTCCCATTAGATTCCACCTCCTGAGTATATCTTATTATTGTTAAGTGCCACCAAGTTGGTTCTGGCTAATTGCAACACTTAATAGGGTTTCCAAGGAATGACTGGTGGGTTTGAACCTCCACCTTGCAGTTCAAACTGACCTTGAGGTCTAGTGCTTATCTTATAGCGTCATTGCAATTCATCCTAGTTTGTAGTTTGGTCTGCCATGATCTTTTATATAATGGCATGATCATTATAATAACGATTATAACAGTTTCCCTCTAGAATGGTCTCCCTTTTTCAAATCTCATATGGACATTATGAGTCAGAACCAACTTGATAACACACCTAACAACAATAGTTTGAGCGATTTCTCAAAAAATGCAAATCTTAACCAAATCTTAATCCCTCATTGATTAAAACCCTTTCATAGCTCCCCTGCCATTGCCTACAAAATAAGATGGAACTCTAGCAATTTCCAAGGTTCTTCATTTTCTCTGCATGCCTTTTCAGCCTTCTCTCTGCTTATAGCCTGTGGATAGTTCCTATAAATTGTTCAAGTCTCAGTGTGCTCATTGCTCCTTCTAGAAAATCTTCCTTGATAACCGTGTCTCCCAGGATGAATACCCCTTTAGAGATCATTCAGACTTTCCTCTCCCTACTCCATCACAGCACTCATTTCAGTGTCATAGAACTTGCTATTTCTTCATTATCTTCTCCATTATGTACAATAACATGGCCCGAGGGAGTCTGCCATTATATCACCAGTGCTTATCCCAGTAGATAGATGCATTGTATATGCTTATAAAATAGTTGAGTGAATAAATTTAAGCAAATCATTTAGTCTCTCTGAGCCTCGGTTCTTATTGAAGAAAAAGAAATCTTGTCCTGCCAAACTTAAAAGGTTGTTTTGAGGTTTTTGTAAGAGAGTAGGAAGGAGCCCTGGTGACACAAGTGGTTAAGTGCTGGCTGCTCATGAAAGGTTGACATTCAAGCACACCAGCTGCTTTGCAGAAAAAGATGTAGCAGTCTACACCCATAAAGATTGTTGTTGTTAAGTATCGTCAAGTTGGTTCCAACTTATAGAGAACCTGTTTAGGGCTTCTGAGGAGCTGCTGGTGGGTTGGAACCTCCACCTTATGGTTCCAATTGACATTGCAGTCCAGTGCTTATCCCACAACAGCACACAGGACTCCCTGTAAAGATTACAACCTATGGGGCAGTATATAGGTTAAGCTCATGAGTCCTAAATCCATACTTCTTGGTATTTAATATTAATTTCCAGCATTAAACTAGTTCTGTGTTCTTGCACAAGTTATTGAATGTCTTCATGCTTTTGTTTCCTCGTCAGTAAAATGAGAGTAACCATGATACTTATGGTTATTCTTTTAAGTTGTTGTGAAGACTAAGTGACTTTCTACTTGAAAAGCATTTAGAACACTGCCTAAGTATGCTATAAATATTAGCTTTTAAATACATTATATATGTTGTTGTTAAGTGCCGTCAAGTTGATTCCAACCCATAGTGACCCTGTAGAGGGTTTCCGAGGAGTAGCTGGTGAGCTTGAACCACCAACCTTGCAGTTCAAATGACTTTGCAGACTGATGCATAAGCCCACAGTGCCACTCCAGGACTGACATTATATATGGTTGGTGGTGGTTATAGCGGTTCCAACTCATAGCGACCCCTATACAGGGTTTCCAAGACTGTAAATCTTTACGGGAGCAGAAAGCCTCATCTTTCTCCTGCGGAACAGCTGGTAGTTTCGAACTGCTAATCTTGCAGTTCGCAGCTTGATTCGTAACCACTACACTACCAGATATATATATAAGCTCTAAAATAATACACAAATGTATGGTGTCAATATTATTAATTTGATTGTTTGTTTAGAGGGTAAAAAGTATTAATATTACTATTCTTAAGAATTTTTTTTCTTTTTTCTTTCTGCCATAGATATATCAGAGTTTATTTTCCAAGTCTTAAATTCTTATTGCCCTTCTTGATTTATATAAGATATATTTAAAATGTGTATATATGACTTTTTTCAGTATAAGAAATTTTTAGATTTTATTCATTTATTTTTGAGTATATATACATAGTAGGTAGAACACATCCCAGGAAAAATATTTAAATCAGAAAGATTGCTGATTTGATTTATAAAGGACAATTATTATGTATCTAATACCTAGCTTTATTATTTTTTAAATAAATTTTTAATTGTGATTAAAAAATATATAACAAAAACACATACCATTTCAACATTTTTTGCATGTATAATTCAGTGACATTAATTATAGTCATAATGTTGTGCAACCATCACCACTGTGTGTCTATAAATGTATCTATCACTTTAACAGAAACTTAACATCCTTTAATTAGTGATTCTTTCAATGCCCCTCCCTCCTGCCCCTTGGTAGCTACTAAATAAACCTTGGCTCCCACACATTTGTATGTTTATATATAATTTAATTAGATAAAGTAAACAATTTCATGTTTGGGAAGTATGAATCTCATTATAATTATGTTATGCAAGAAAAATGGAAAATAGAAGTATATTTACTTTTGAGACTCTGAGGAGGCTTCAAAAAGTTTGTGGAAAATGGAGTTGAAAAGATAGTGGAATTTTTCCACAAAGTTTTTTAAGTTCCCTCATATCTGTACATCTGAAAGAAATTTACTCAGTTTTTACAAACGTTCCTTTTAATTTTAAACTTAATTAAGTAATGCATATTTGTTTGTTGACTTTGAGTCAACAGAAATTCTTAATTTTTATTTTTTCTCTGATTCTGTTTTAGGGTTGGTGGTTCTAAGATCTTACTCAGAATGACGTTAGGAAGAGAAGTGATGCCTCCTCTTCAGACAATGTCTTCCTTTACTGCAGCTGGCAGAAACGTTTTAAGATGGGATCTGTCGCCAGAGCAAATTAAAACAAGAACTGAGGAGCTCATTGTCCAGACCAAACAGGTGTATGATACTGTTGCAATGCTCGATATTGAAGAAGTGACTTATGAGAACTGTTTACAGGCACTGGCAGATATAGAAGTGAAATATATCGGTGAGTAGGACGCAGAGGTATATCGATTTTCATTTTGTGAGCATCATAGACCGTTTTATGCTTTTTGTCTTGGCAATCAGTTTTCCAGTTTTACAAGAGATTGGTTTTTACATACTGGCTAATTTATTGCTTTGAATTAAATTACCAAAGATTTAAAATTTTTATGCTGTTGACAAAAGTGCTATAAAATACACACTCTACTCATACTACTATCTGGAGAGCATTTTGACAATATAGACAGTCAATTTTTATTATTTATAGTGATTATGTTCTCTAGAGTCACTTCAAACTGAATTAGTGAATACTGACCGGTGCTCCTAGGAGAAATAAGGGGCTTCAAAAAGTTCACAGAAAAATTTCATTATCTTTTAATTCCATTTGTTCATGAACTTTTGAAGCCCCTTTGTGCAGAGTCACGTTTCTGTGGGTCTCTAGTCACAATATTTTTATCATTCAGTTGATACACATACCTTGTTTTGTATGTGTTTCTGTTTATAGATACTTTGTTGCTGTGTTATTGTTAAGTGTTGTCAAGTCGTTTCTGACTCATAGTGATCCTTTGTAGGATTTCCAAGGAGCTCCTGGTAGGTTTGAACCACTTACCTTATGGTTAGTAGTTTATCCTACAATGACACACTGACTTAATAGATATTGTTGATTCATTATCATTGAATTAATGACCAGCAGCAATATACCTCATGGCTGAAAAGGTATTCTCTCTGTAAGGCACATCACAGCCTTCTTATACTTAGGAATGCTAGCCAGCAGTTCACTGCTACTCTTGGAGACCATTTTAAGTAGCAAAATCATCGGCAAAAATGCAAAAACAAAACATGGCATTAAGTAGACCATAACATAGACCATAAATAGGGCCCTGCTTTATCGTATGACAGCTGAAATAAGGAAATGTCTTCAGCCTCATTTGAGAGGACTGTGTGCATGTCTGTGAATTAACACAACAGTACTGTAGTATTGATTGTGGAGTTGCAAATACATTTCATAAAGTAGCAATTGCAAATATGGAATCTGTCAATAGTGAGAATTAACTGTGTCAAAGTTTTTTAAAAGAAACTAATACCTTAGTCCAGAAGTCCCAAATATAAATACTTGTTCTAAGGAATTATTGTATCATCTGAAATATAGGCAAAATCTGTGTGTAAATATTTAAGTTGTTGTTGTTATTAAGTGCTGTCGAATCAGTTCTGACCCATAGCAACCCTGTATAGGGTTTCCTAGGAGCAGCTGGTGAGCTTGAACTGCCGACCTTGCAGTTCAAATGGCCTTGCAGTCTGGCGCATTAACTCAATGTGCCACACCAGGACTCTAAATATTTAAGTAGGTCTCATCATATTAAAAAGGAGCTCTGGTAGCGTAATGGTTACGAATCGGGCTGCGAACCTTAAGGTCAGCAGTTCGAAACTACCAGCTGTACCAGGGAGCAAGATGAGGTGTTCTGCTCCCATAAAGATTTACAGCCTCAGAAACCCTGTACAGGGTCACTATGAGTCGGAACCGACTCCATGGCACACAGCCACCACCATCATATTAAAAGCTTAGAAACAACCCTTAAACATCAACAGTAGAATAGCTAAGTAAATTATGATCCATCCTTCCTCTGTAGCACTATGCAGCCATTAAAATCATGTTCTGGAGGCAATTTAATGACACAGAAAGAAAACTAAGAGAAGATATGCAAATTTTATTAATGATGAGTACCTTAAGTGGTAGGTTTACAGTTGATTCTTATTTTCCTTAGTGTGCTTTTTCTTCTATTTTTCAAGTTTCCTAAAATGAACATACATTATTTTTTATAATAGATATATTAGGCCCTTTAAGTTAAGAAATGAAGACTGATTTGGCTTACCTATAAGACTTGGAGATATTTTGTAGGATAAGTACAGCTACGGAATATTGACTGTGTGTCCAGCCCTCATGGAAACATATGGTAGCTGTAGAACTGGGTGTCACATGCATTTTGGGCTTTGGAAGGTTGTTCAGAATCCAGCATACCTCTAGTGACCTGGTAACCTCATTGCCCTGAACACCTAGAGTTCCCTGCTCTGTGCTCTATTGTTATAGGGACTTGGCTAGTTTCTCTCTTAACTCTTTCAGTACTTCTCTTTCAGTTTCTGTCCCTACTACCAACTGCTTCACTCTCACTATTAACCATGAAATCTTGTTGCTAGTCTTGAGTTCAAACACCTGATTAAAAAGAGATGGTTAATCTAATTAAGCAAAGTCTAAAGAGACCATATATATTGGCTCCCTTTTCAGCAGAACTTTTAACTTGATGTGCTTCTCCCACCCTGGATTTTGGTTGTCCGTAAACTAGGTACTGACTTCTACAACCAACATGATGAATCAGCCTGGTAACTTACACATTTGATTAATAAGAATTCAGGGGTGAAAAAACACTTTTAAATATACTTTAAATTTTGTGATATTTGTTCTTGCTCATCTGTAAATGTATCTTTTTGGATTGTACTTCAACACTCTTAGTTTGAGAAGAGATGTCTTTGAGACTAAGTTTTCAGATCAGTGCATGTTTTCAGAGTTCATTATGCCTTCTACAACAACCCAGTTTGTCTGGTGTCAGGTGCTGGGCATCAGCATTGTTTATAGTTTGGCAGTCAGTGCAAGAACTCTGGCTCCAGGTCTTTGTGGCACAGAAGACCTGGAACCAGACTTTCAGCATTATTCTTTGTTTAAGGGTATATTTCTGGTAGCATAGTGGTTACTAATTGGGCTGCGAACTGCAAGGTCAGCAGTTCGAAACTACCAGCTGTTCTGCGGGAGAAAGATGAGGCGTTCTGCTCCCATAAAGATTTACAGCCTCGGAAACCCTGTACAGGGTCACTATGGGTCAGAATCGACTCGACGGCACTTAACATTTTATTTTATATCCACCACTTGTCTGTCAGTTGTCATCCTGTGGTGGCTTGCATGTATTGCTGTGATGCTGAAAGCTCTCCTACCAGTATTTTTAATATCAGCTGGGTCACCCATAGTGGAGAGGTTTCAGCAGAACTTTCAGACTAAGACAGACTAGGAAGGAGGAGAAGTACACTACTTCTGAATGTTTTGTTGTTGTTGTTGTTACGTGCTGTCGAGTCGGTACTGACTCATAGCAACGTTATGCACAGCAGAATGAAACACTGCCCTATCCTGGGCCAATCTCACCATCATTGCCACGCTTGAGCCCATTGATGCTGTCATTTGGCCAATCCATCTCGCTGGGGATCTTCCTCTTTTTCTCTGACCCTCCACCTTACCAAACATGATATCCTTCTCCAGCGACTGGTCCCTCCTGACAACATGTCCAAAGTATGAGAGACGAAGTTTGGCTGAACATTTAGCCACTGAAAACATGAATGGCACAGGAGGAAACAATCTGTGGAGAAGGACATTATACTTGGCAAAGTGGGGGGTCAGCGAGAAAGAGGAAGACCCCAGATGAGATCACCTGACACAGTGGCAGCAGCAATGGGCTCAAACATAATAACCGTTGTGACTATGGTGCAGAACCAGACAGTGTTTCATTCACTTGGGTAATGGGTCACTATGAGTCAGAACTGACTCAACAACACCTAACAATAACAACAAACATATTTGGAGAATGCGGTTTCTTGACAACCGTAGAAACCTTTACTGAAAAATAAATGAAAAACTTACATTTGGATAATCATTCATCTGTTGTTCTTATTAGGTGCCATGGAGTCGGTTCCTACTCATAGTAACTTTCTGCACAACCAGAAAAGAACACTGCATGGTCCTGCACCAACCTCACAATCATTGTCACATTTGAGCCCATTGCTGCTGACACTGGACCAGTCCATCTCATTGGGAACCTTACTCTTTTTTCACTTACCCTCCAATTTACTAAGTATGATATCCTTCTCCAGGGACTGGTCCCTCCTGATAATATGTCTGAAGTATGAGAGACAAAGTCTGGTCATCCTGGCTTCTAAGCAGCATTCTCGCTGTACTTTTTCCAATACAAATTTGTTCTTCTGGCAGCCCATGGTACTTTTAATATTCTCCTCTAATACCACAACTCAAATCATCAATTCTTCTAAGGTCTTCCTTATTCTTGTCCAACTTTCACATACATATAAGGCTATTGAAATAACATGGCTTGGGCCAGGCCCACCTTAATCCTCAAATTGATAACTTTTCTTTTGAACACTTTAAAGAGGTATTGGACCACAGATTTGCCTAATACAGTATGTCATTTGATTTATTGACTGCTGCTTCCATGAGTGTTGGTGATGGATCCAAGCAAAATAAAGTGTTTGACAACTTCTATCTTTTTTCCATTTGTGATGATGTTATTGATTGCTCCATTGGTGAGGATTTGGGGTGCATCCCATACTGGAGGATATGGTCTTTGATCTTCATCAGTGAGTGTTTTAAGTCCTCTTCACTTTCAGCAACTAAGATTGTATCATCTGCATATCATATGTTGTTAATGAGTCTTCCTCCAATCCTGAGACCATGTTCTTCTTCATATAATCTAAATTCTCACATTATATGCACAACATATATATGAGTAAGCATGGTGAAAGAATACAACTCTGACAAATACTTTTCCTGATTTTAAACTATTCAGTTCCCTTGTTCTGTTCAAATAACTGCCTCTTGGTGTGTGTACAGGTTCCTCATGAGCACAAATAAATTTTATGAAATATTCATTCTCTGAAATGTTGTCCATAGTTTGTTATGATCCAGACAGTCTAAAGCCTTTGCTTAGTCAATAAAATACAGATGAACATCTTTCTGGTATTCACTGCTTTCAGCCAAGATCCATCTAACAGCAGCAATGATATCCCTCACTCTGCATCCTCATCTGAATCTGGCTTACGCCTCTGGCATTTCTTTGTAAATGTACTGTCGCAGCTAAATATTATCTTTTGCAAAATTTTACTTGAATCTGATATTAAAGGTGTTGCCCAATGATTTCTGTGTCCCATTGGATCACCTCTCTTTGGAATGGGTACAAA